TCGCTTATCATAACCCTTGTATACCTAAGTATGCACCTTATACAGGGGGATTCGAGGAGTGCCAGGACGATCACCTGGAATGGACGGTAGATCCTATTTTCCGGATCATCGATCCACTCTGACCAATGCGCAAGCCACCCAGCCAATCTCGGCACGTAAAAAGTATGGGGAACATATCTAAAACATTGCAGTGGTGTGGCGGACATGAGCCGTCGTGGGCCTCCTACCGGTAGGAAAGCCCATGGCCTTATATATCAACCCAGAGTAGAAGTCTACGTTGGGATAAAGTTTTCTATCCTTGAAGTATGGATCCGACAAAGCGATACGCTCAAGCTCCATAGCAACCTCTATTAAAGGCTCTCGACCACAGATCTCGAAAACCTACAACCACAAGATGCAGCACTGGACTATATATACCTAATGCCTTACGTCCTCAGCTATCTGCCTCACAATGGTAGCTCTAGGATCATAATGCTTGTATACTCGATGACCGAAACCCATGAGGAGCTCCTTGCGCTGTTTCACCTGAAGATACGGTAATCATAGTAGCATGTGTATAGGGATGTGACCTTTTCGACAAAATTAGGGACATTATCGAGAGAGCCGATCCTCTCCAACATGCGTAATACAGCCTCGTTGGCACCACCATGGCGTGGCCCATACAAGGCCCCGGCAGCTGCGGCACAAGCTGTGTAAACATCAACCTATAGACACATACCACTACCCAATAATCAGTCTATCATTACATTGCTCGAAGTGAGATGGCGCATAGCACTGGTAGAGCAATTGAGCTCATGTTCGGCGTGTAGCACGAACAAGACGTCCAAGGCCTTCACCAGTTTTGGATGCGGCCTGTATCTCGTACCTGATCACCTACTGTCATCAAGTTAGCTACGGTAGCGTGTTGCTACCCTCATGTGAGACATCCAGCATGTATAAAAAATTCTCAGTGTAGCCCAGGTCCGAATTGGGTATATTAAAAGGCCTCCCCATACGATGCCTATAAGCCATAGCAGCCAAGGTTGTAGCTGATCCTAGTATACGAGCGATCTCCTTGTTCCGTACCTGCTCACCGAGGCGAACGTGACGTACCCAATACTGTGCGGTACAAGCCTACCGCCTTATCCTTATATATGTTCTGACTGGTAAGGGCTGGGTTGGTCTCGGGGTGCAGAGTACCAAGGGCCGCCATTGACGATACGAACATACCCATAGGATGAGCATCATAACGGAAAGCCTGTAGACATGATGATCATGCACATAGTACTGTCGCTTGATGGATCTACCGAAGTTAGAGTAGCCACATCTTGATGCAGCATGGAGTGACGCATAAGATCCTGCTCCCATCGCCTCAACTGATTCCTAGTAGGCAACTCGCCGTACCTAACCCCAAGAGGTACTGGTATTAGACCGAGCCTCAGGGCAGGTCTCACTGCAAGAGGAAAGCCACCTCAGTAAAGGAGCTCTTCTCAGCTAGCTGCTCTATGGGATACCCTCTATAACGTAGAACACCACGATTGCCGTCAATGAAGGATATGCGAGATACACAACAAGTCGTGTTCATGTACCTGAGCCGGTCGGAAGGCCATCCTAGCATACCATCACTGTAGCGTACCCAGGGTCATAGGTTTGAATCCCCAACTGTTTGAGATCAGTCGCTCTTATCGTGTCATCCGTCACTTTGACATCTATCTTCTTACCACTTCTATTGTCGATGATAGTCAAGGTGGGAACAACATGAGCGGCCACGCTGTTGAGACGGTTCATGAAGAAGGGGGAGGAGGAAAACTGAACTACAATACGTTAATGGTACCGATACAGCACAACACAGCCTTGAAAAGAGTAGTGGAAAGAGAAGGACGAGTTGATCATCATTAATACGAGTTAATCGATCGATCAAATATTTATCAGAAAAGATATCAACCGAGGCTAGAACATGAAATGCTTCTCCCAGTAGCCGTAAAACACTATACGGCGATCCCTAAGGAGCGTCCTTGCTGTTAAGGCTCCTCCTCTGTCGAACAGCTGCTGCCAAAGCATCAAGCATGTCGACAGTCTGCATCCAGTTAACACATCCATCAGTGATCGACACCTGCTCGTCATGATGATCATCATGGCAGTGCAATTAAGTACAACATGAACCTACTCCATATCTTAGCATATGACGGACATCTGAGTTCGTTTCCAAGGAAGCGGATGGACCCGGCTCAGAGACCAAGGGCCCAGGAATGTTGGACGACGACGAGGGCTGAAAAGTAAGAATAGGGTGGCATGAGGAGAATCTAGCAAGTACGTTCTTCTTTCTGAACTCTGCGATGGCTGCTGTAGACGGAGTATTCTGATTGCCTTCGAAGAGGTTCGACTCGATCATTACACCTATGGTAATTATCACAACTACATCATCACTAGCAACTTGATGATACCAGAAACGTCACGACAACGAGCCTGTGATGGTGATACGATCTGCTCCTTAATGATCTCTTCAAGCACCTGAAGTATCGAGTATAAGGGACCAGACCGCAAGAATGAACAACCCACCAACGGTTGCCTCCTATAGTCCTTGTTGCTGTTGCCGTGACTACAGTCTATCATAACGCCTTGAGTGATGCCCCTTTTACTGACGATGAAATACGATAATGGCTAGCAGCAGGGTACAGCACAACCCTACCTCTGCTTGGCTATACACTCATCAACATGCTTCTTGCTGTAGTTAGGACCCGACTTCCCTCCTCTCAAGATGATATGGGCATCGGGGTTACCATGAGAGTGGACCTTAAAAAGGATGCATGACTCTTGTGTGTTAGAGCAAGCGTGAGAGAACTTACGACAGCCGCAGTCCCCTGCTTGGTGATAGAGAAGAAACAGTGGGGATGCATGGCCGACACCACAGCGTCGACGCTCACATCTACATCACTGAGACAGATGGGCACGTCATGCAAGGACCGGGACCGAGGCAGGACAAGGTAGAGAAAAGGGCAAATTTGCACAGTCCCCTGTGGGCGCGCCATTGAAGCACTCACCCGCTAGTAGAGTTCTTGAAACCGACAGGCATACTGAGTCCACTACCCAGCTCCCTATGTAGCTGACACTCAGTAGTCCGAGCCCCTATTGCTGCCCATGATACAAGGTCAGCAATATATCTGAAGGCCCACATTAGTTAGGTACTATAAGCAGTAGAGATATATTATTGCAGCACTCACTGTGGCGTCAATGTGTCCAGGAACTCGCAGCCTACTGGAAGGCCAAGATGAGTAATCTCCTGTAGGAGACGACGGGCAGCCCTGAGATCACCTCAAGGTATACCAAAATGATTACCAACAATAACGATCACTACCGAAGCCCAGCATTGACGTTAAAAGTATCATCAATGTTAGGATCATTGATAAGGCCCTTCCAACCGACTGTTGTACGAGGCTTCTCGAAGTAACTGGGATGGGGTGAGATGGGAGGGTAGATACTGCTACCCTACACCCTCATGATGATAACCAGATCGTCCTTAAGTCGATCAGCTTCTGCCTTCAATCTCGCTGCATACCTGATGATCATCATGATGCTCATCCTACGATCGCCAGCAGCTACTCACTCCTTAGCGGCCGCTGGGTCGTGAATACTACAGGGGCCGACTACGACGAGCATCCTGTCGTCCTTCTTATTGACGATATCCGATGCCTCTTTCCTCCCTTTGCTGACAACCGTCTTACCTTTCTCAGTCAGCGGGAACTCCTCTACTAACAACTGAAGCATAAGCAACCAAAGTAGAGCACACGACTCTGCCATAGAACATTCACCTGGGGATAAATGAGCGCTTTGATCTTAGCAATCCTCAAGTTGTCGATATCAGGATCAGTGAAATGTTCTTGAAAGTGCGGTAGCACAGATGCTTGAGATGACGGGGTACCATTGGCCTCAGTACGCCCTCTCTACAGTGACATCAGGCCCTAGAGTAATATCATCCTACTTTTTCTGGTGGCGGCTTGTCAGAAGCTCTGTCCTTAGAATCGTCCGCCGGCCGCTCAGCTCTCACTAGGTTGGTCATGAGAAAAAAAGAGCGTGTAAAAACCTCACCGACAACGACAAAAGCCAGGTAGTGGATGCATGGCTTCCCATAGGAGCGTCAACCTATGCTCATCCTCTCAGCTGCTGCAAACCCACATATAAAACCCCAAGACTACTCTTATTTAATCAAACCAAACAACACAATATAGGTGTGAAACAAAGGCAGTTTACCGCCTCTTGTCCAGAATTAGAGCCCAACTAGAAATATCATCAACGTAGTATTACGGATATTAAAGTGAGCACTATGCTTAGTGTTTGCCCTTCTTCTTGCCGCCACCTCTACGCTTGGGGCCAGCGGTCATTGAAGTAGCTCCCATGGCTTCAGCGAGAGCTGAGGTTGGCCTGAAATGATAGCCGATGAACCTCTCAAGGCAAGGAAGGTCTCACTTGTTCGGGGGTTCTCTACCAGCCTGTACACCCACAGTAGGGCCATCCAGGTTACCAGTGAGGCCACCCTCCTCTGCTTCACGCTTCTTAGCAGCCGCCTCTCGACGAGCTCTCACCTAACGAGGGTGGTATTAAAAAACAGTCAGGCAGTCGTTAAATAACTAGCTCATCCTACCTCGGCTAAACGTCGAGCTTGAGCCTTAAATTCTGAGGTTTCACCCTTGGCCTGCTTCTCGAGGTATGCCTTGTGGGCCTGAGGTAACATCACTACGAGATACAGAATACACTCCTGCCGATTACAGCCTCCTTAGCGGCAGCCTCTCGCTCTCGTCGAGTTGGTTGATGCCTCTGATCAGCTCCTAGAGGTGCTATATCATCATCAGAGTCAACCCTGAGCCATACAGTGAGAGCCAATACTCACTAGCATTGCACTCACCGTTCCTTAGCTGCTGCTGTCTTCACCTCCGGTGCCCTCTTTGCATGAGCTGACACAGGGGCAGCAGTAGGCTTGTCGTCATCCGACGATGAATCTTCCTCGGCTTCTTGTTGCTGACGGCGTTTGATCTGCAGAGACACTCGAGTCATTGGAACGTTTGCTCAGTGATGGGCACCTGCTCTACATCCCGATTCCTACGGGCTACGGCATCAAAGTCATCCTCTTCGACGACATACTTCTTGCCAGCTCTACTCCCACGCCCGCCTCCACGATGGTCCACCTTATTCCTAGAACGCTGATCACGGCCTGGCATTACTCGACAACTGGCACCCGTCCCACGCGTCCATCGAGGAACACGAGACAAACTATCGGGTGATAACTGTTGGCAGTTACCAGGAAGAAAATGTTACAATGGTTGTTGGGATATGATAATGATAGGGCACGACGTGAGGGATTATCAACACTGATTACCGACGCATACGAGGGCCAGCAGCCTCACCACGACCTGGACACCAGGGAGATGAGCGTCTCGAGAGACAGCAACAGCATTCTCCATTACCTTTCCCTGCTGGTATACCACCACCCTTCCCTTTGCCTTTACCCTTGCCTGATAAAGCACACCACTCACTACCATCATACGTAATTGTCATACGTACCCTTTCCAGCACCCTTCTCAGCCTTCATACGTTGGAGCCTGATAGCATCCTCCTGAACCATATCAACCACACCATCGGGTATCCGTAGGTATCTTGCTAGACCAATACACACATTCACCATCATCGTAGTCCTACTTGATATGATTCCCTCTTATGTAGGCCTCAGCCAGCTTCCAGAAGCGGTCACCATCCTACAGTAAGCTCATGCCATCATCAGCTGCTGATGCTCCTAGACTCTACCTTGCTAGTGAGGACAGCGTCTCTGATATGCAAGTTCATCCAGGAGTCACAATTGGCCAATACACCAGAATATGCCTCGCCATTCTTCAACTCGACCATCTGAGAAGCAATGAGTAACGGGAAGACCATGACCCTAGGCTTACTATCGGCTGCCCTTGGGCCGTCTTCAACAAGCTCATAGGCAAAACCATCGTCAGTGGAGGTTGTAAATGCCAACTACCTCGAGAGAAGTAACCCAACGTTTAGGAAACCCAACAGAAATGATGTCGTGGAGATACTTAAAACGACATAGTGTTTCTGTTGTTGCTGATGATGCCGCTATTGCAAATGATGAAATGATACCACTATTCTCGTTCATCGTAACCAATCATAGCAATCACAGTAGATATCACACACGAGCATTAGAAGAATACCATGGTGCCGCCAGCGGTATGTTGGTAGTGGTAATAGGGAAGAGCTTTACTCCTTGCCCATCTGCCTTCCAGCTCTAATGACCTCATCAACTAGCAACAACTGCTGGGCCAGCACCTGCACAGATGATAACACAGCTAGAATGATTCATCCACAGCTTACTGGTGCCAAGGCAAGCATCTCTTTCTTAACAACGTAATTATCCCAGATACCTGTAGAGCATCTATGGTCATTGCAACGATCCATGGCAACTACCCTCAGCTTCGGGGGAGATGGCGTCTCCAGTATATACGTCTAGGCCCACCGCCTCGCCATCAGCATTCTGGTACTCTGAACATTGCATATACTGTCAGTACCCAACAACCTACATCATACCTTCCTCCAGCTTCAGTATGGTGTCCTGAATATCAAAACCGCTATTCTCAGCGAGGGTCTGGGGTATAGCCTGACAATCAGTGAGTTAAGACAAACAGTACTGTCGGGACTATCACTACCAGCAATGCCTTGGCGAAAACTTCAACACCGAGCTTAGTCTTACCACTAACGTTCTTCTTCATGAACTCCATCAAGTGGTCATGACCAGCCAACTCGAAGGCACCTAACAGCCATAGGTAACACAAGGAGTGGTAGTCTACGGTCCTACCGGCTCCTGGGACCACCGCACCGTCTTGAGCCGCATTTCTCACGGCACGTAGGCCATCACGGACCTATGATGACGACAGCATCAGAAGGGCACTCTACCATTATTTACGTACAGCATCCTTCATCTGGTTGATAACGTAGTCATTGGAGCCCTTGAGGAGTATGGTGCAGGAACGAGGATGTCTGAGGACGAATAAGCGAACATTGAATACAGTGGCGATGCTAATGCTACTTACTGGACTCCTTCAATAAAGGTATACTTATCATCACCAATGACCTTCTCATAAACCTCATCAGCATAGCCGAGATCATCAGGAGTAAGCTATAGAGGACTATACACCGAGCTCACCGAGAGGAGACGTATTACATCCTCGACAGAGTTCACAGCAACGCCGCCACATGCGAGTACAAGGCGTTCCATGTTTCTCCGCTTAGCCCTACGCAATGCCATGATACCCTCCTTAGCCAGCATATCCAACGCTGGGGGGTCGATACCTGTTACGACCATTGGCAAACCATAACGGGAGTAAACTGAACCCACCTTTCTGGTTGATAACAACGAAGTGCTTGCCAGTCTTGTCGGAGTCACCACACACAGTCTGCTTTAATTCGATAATCTTAGCCACCTAATGACAGAGCACCGGTCATTGCCACATTCACCACCACCTGGTCTCACCTTATCATCGGTGAACTTCCTCTCAGACTCAACAAGACGTTCCCTCTGCTCAGCATTGCTGTAAGCGAAAGTAGTGTTCACCTACTATGCTAATCAACTACGAGTGGCCTTGAATGCTCATCTCACCTCAGCCTTCTCATATTCAAGACTGACGTTGCAGGTGAGAATATAGCAGTTCTCGAGCCTGTGAGGCATGTCGGGATGGCGGGTCCCATGGTCAAGTACAAGGCCTTTCACCAGTCTAATGCCATAACAACGTAACCGACAGGATCTAGCACCCCGAGTATACCTAGTCTCCATAGCGAGCCTCTCTTGCATAGTCATAACTTCTACCATATGCAAGTCTACCTCCTCGCTCTCAGTATGGATCTGATACCACAATATTGGGTATAACAACTTGTCCTCCCTTACGAGCTGGAGGGCCTGGACAATGATATCCGCCAACTGGTCAGCCTGCTTGCCAGGAAGTTTAGTCCGGAGAGAGGTCCCTAATACGACCAAGCTGATCGACGACCATACCGTGGGAACACTACTGGCTATGCAGGAGAGAATGTCACTATCTTCCCAGCCACACTTCACTTTAAACTCTTCCAAAAAGGTTGCTATCTGAAGATGATCAATATTCAAGAGAACACGACGGACCGCATTCAATACCTCCATCCGAGCTGCATCGAATCCATCCGCTAGAATGCGGGGATGCACACCATCATTGATGTACCTGTAAAGGTACACTTCTAGTAGGACGCCTTCTGACCAGCATTCTACCTCTGAGACAACTTCATGAGCTCGGCAATAAACAGAATAGTCGACGTGGTGCCATCACCGCTGGTCTCATCTTGTGCTGCAGCGGCTCGGGCTACAAGATCAACAGAGATGTCAGGTATCGTACGTCCTACGTAGCCTACCTATCATAGAGGCAGTAGGGTGCTGAATTTGCATCTCTTTAAGGAGAACACTCCCATCCTTGGTGATCTTGATCTGGCCAGCACCTCCAACGAGCCTGTAATGAGCAACCATGAGTTCGCGATGGTGTGGTATGACGTTCCTGAGCCAGCCCGATATTACATCTTGAGAGTGCCCCTAGGGCCGAGATTGCTCTTCATAACCTCACTGAGGCCTTGGGCAGCATTGCAGTTCACCAACAATGCTTGAGTGGCCTTCAAGACATCAGCTTTGGAGTTAACGACGCTAACCATGGCTCGGTGGATTCACAAACTAACTGCAATAGTAGTCAAGCTGGTTGTAGAGCTGGGCCCTAGAGCTTAGCCATCAATTCAGTTATGATAGCCTCGTCGTACATCAAAGATATGAATTGAACCTCTGAATAAATAGGAGGCTTCTCTATCGGATGTGAGCCGTCCTTCTACCTAACCAATACCATACAGTCATGTAGACGCATGGTATCTTGGATGCCTGTCTACGTTGCAGACGAAAATCGATCAGTGTGGCGAGCGCCAATGCGATTCTATAGTAAAGCAGATGGTGAGTAAGGGCTACGGCTCCAGGCCATCCGGGGAACAGATTCCAGGAAATGTGGTATTGTGTATGGTGGAATCTGCTGATCTGTTGGTGATGGGCAGAGTTGTTCCTTTTCCTCGTATTTGAATGGCTCCTAAGAATAAGGGAAAGGGAGGGAAGAACCGACGCCGCGGAAAGGGAGGACGCGGTGACGTTAAGCGAGAGCTTGAGTTCAAGGAAGATGGCCAGGAATACGGCCAGGTACGTCAACCGGACCTACTCCGTATCTTACATGGGCGACATTTGGATATTCCAGCAGCATCCTATAGGTCCTCAAGATGCTTGGGCAAGGTCGTGTTGAGCTACAATGCTTCGACGGAGTAAAGCGACTCGGGCATATCCGTGGCAAGATGCGTAAGCGTGTGTGGATACAGATCGGTGATATCGTAAGCCTTGTGGAAGATGTATTTTAGCTGGACCTAGTTGGCACCATTCAGGTTCTGGCTTCCCTCCGAGACTTCCAAGACGAGAAGTGTGATATCATCCTCAAGTACTAGTATCGTTACCACCTTGACTCCAATCCCTTTCGATAACAGGTATAACGTCGATGAGGCCCGTGCCTTGAAACAGCATAAGGAGATACCTGACAACATCAAGATCAACGAGACTGATTTGATGGGCAACGAGGAAGGTAATGATAGTACCATCACGTTCCTCAGGTGGTGTATATCATCTTACTTTAGGATTCTCTGATGATGGTGTCGAGTTTGCTGAAGATGGTAGTGATGACGAGGAGACTGCAGGCAACCTCTTGGCTCCTCCCTCTACTGCTGCTAACCTCAGTAATATACCTCCCCTCTCAGATGGACTGCATTCTAACTTGTCTCTTCCTCAGCTAAGGCGGACATTGACGATATCTAAGCAACCATTGACGATGGTCACCCAGCCGTTTCCCTGTACTGAGTGAAGCTCTTATTCACTATCTAGCATTCCTATCATCACGACTTGTGTTTTTAACGTTAGGGGAGCGTTGTTACAGTACTACCAGTTCCATACGTCAATTTTGAAGTGGTGATATCATCATGCCGGCAGCTGAGGGCCATCAAGAATACATCCAAAAGAAAATCAATCCTATTCTCGAGAATCTCGTCACCCAGGTATATCTATGGTCAGCTTATGCTACTGTACTAGATATTTTCAGTTGCTGTTGGAGCGTCCTGAAGACCCTGTGCCCTTCATGATACAATGGTTATCTGATTATGTACTCACGTCGATCTCTCCCTCGTCGAGGATTGCCTCTCCTCGTGTTATAACTCAGTCCCATACTCCTGCTCCTGCTGGTATACAGGGTGCTGCAGAGTCGTCCTCAGCAGAAGTCACTAGATTACAGTCTGAAGTCGATTCCCTTCGAGCGTACGGCAACGGAGGTGCCAATGGTGGCTTCACGTTATTCGATAGGTATGTGAAGCAGCTCGAGAGCAAGCAAGCTGAATTGGAGGCGGCTGCATCCAAGTCGTTGCCATGCGCCCCTTCTACTACTACTAAGGGTGAGGAGGACTCCGCAGATGAGGTCAGTGGCAGATGCTAAACAATGGTCCATGATCCTGCGTGCATCTGCTAGGATAGCTCCGACGAAGACGATGAAGAGGATGTTGTCGATGAGCTACCACCAGTGCCTGCTAACTACCATCGTAGAGGCCCTAGAGCGAGTGTGAGTGCTGAGGCATACGGTGACTGGAACAAGTAGGTTCATAGGGCCCTCGACTACCTATAGGATGTTGTCTCAGGAAGCGGACTGATTTCGTGGCACCAGTCCATCCGAAGAGTGAGGAGCAGGCGGCTCGTATAAGGTCCGTTCTCAGTCAGAGTTTCCTGTTCATGTCTGTTGATGAGAAGAGTTTAGATGTAGTCATTGGTGCTATGGTAGAGAAGGTAGTGAACTAGTGCTCTTCCGTGCTAGCTGACCGTCTTCCTCCCAGGTCATCGAACCCAACCAACGTGTAATCAACCAGGGTGATGATGGGGACGTCCTATATGTGGTGGAGTCGGGTAAGGCGAATGAATTCGTGTGGACCTCAAACGGTACGATGTGTTAGGTGAGTTGGACTGTTATAAGAAGCTTCCCGGAGAAGAGGAGGAGAAGTTAGTTAAGACCTGTACCGAAGGTGACACCTTTGGAGAGCTCGCCTTGCTCTACAATACCCCGCGGGCAGCAAGTGTTCAGGCTAGGTGAGCTTACGGTGAGGTTGCCTTATCACAGTCATCCTTCCTAGAGGACGATGCGTGGTGTGGCAGCTCGACAGGGAGACCTTCAATCACATTGTCAAGGAAGCTGCCGCAAGTAAAAGAGAGAAGTATGAGACCTTCCTCAAGAGTGTCCCTCTGCTGGAGAGTATGGACAGGTAGGAATTGTGTGAGGAGCCTGGAAGGGTCAGAAATCTGCTGCAGTTACGAGAGGTCCAAGGTTGCTGATGCTCTTCGAACTGAGTGTTTCAAGGCAGGAGAATGTATTGTCCGACAGGGCGATGTGGGAGATAAATTTTATATGCTGGAAGAAGGGGAATGTACTGTATATAAGGTATATGTTCAAGGCCAGGTAAGTAAAGGATCTCTGAAGGTAGTAGTGTATGGATGTTGATTCATAGGAGCCTAAGGAGGTTATGCATATTAGAGCTGGGGACTACTTTGGCGAGTTGGCCTTACTCAGCAATGACCCTCGAGCTGCTACAGTGAAGGCTAAGACGGACTGCCAAGTACTCCATCATCCGTTGACTGCTCATTTTCTAGTGAGATGGTTATTGACAGGTTCTCTCTCTGGATCGCAGGAGTTTCAAGAGGCTCCTTGGTCCACTTGAAGACATTCTTAAGCGTAACACGGCTCGTTACGAGTAGTTATGATACCACCACTTAGACTCAACGGTGTAGTATTACGAGTTTGTTGTTATTGTAGTGGAGATATTGTACAGCTGCCGTTTCGTCATCAGCTGCTATTGATATTACTGATGCCTCCGTGGTCCTCAGGGATAACAGTAGTAGTTGAATTTCCGGCAGGGAGGTCTCCTCCCAATAGGCCAGTCATTGAGAGTAGTCGTTGCCCGGTAGTCAGCCATCCCCATTCCAAGAACCTCTTTCTATGTGCCCCATCATCAGTGGAGTAGTACAATGACGTTGTAGTGTTGGTTATTACAGGATCCCTACTACAGGGAGCCGTTGCTATGTGCATCATCATTAGTTTTAACTGAATGACCATACGGCAGGCCAATGAGGCGATGGAGATAGATCAATCACCGTGCGCTCGTGATGCCCATGGTGTTGCCCTCGATCCTGCTGCCAGGTCTCGGTACTATAACGAGTATGAGGACTCCCGGACTAGGCTGTCCTGTTAGGCATAACACGTCTCTGAATGGCCCATTCAAAAAGGTGGACATTCTTAGTCACAAGCCTATGCGCCGTAATAATATGAGTAGCATGCTCTCCTCGTATATGACTCTGCTTCCTCGTAGACGTATTTTATGAGATGGAACACCGAAGACTTGAACGGTCCTTGGAGGGGTACCGAATGGAGCCTAGTTGGGGCGCTAGGTTTGCCGCGGAACTTGTCGTTGTTCTGGTAAGCGGCCTCCTTTTCTCTTCCCCCAGCATAGGGTGCTCTACAGGTTGCATTCATATTGTTGTCAAACTCGATAGGCAGTAATATTGTGGGCCAAATACTGCGGGAGAAGAACACTCGTGCGCTCCTCCTCGTGGTGCCTGGTGCGGTTACTGTAATAGTCTCTTTCTCGACTCGCCTCCATATTGTTATATTGTAGGGCTTCTTCATCGCAGTAGCATTGATAAGCATTGCACTGCGGAAAAGGAGTGCGATATCGACCCTAGCAGTGGTTTTCTTGTTGATAGGAGTTGTATGGATCATATGGCTTTACAATCCCGCTGATAAATGGCCGGTAACTACATGACTCTTCGATAGATCATTTACCCCTTCCTCTTCAGGCCCCGTCTCTCAAGAACATTATAATCGTCAGTGTCGTAGTTGCTTCCCTTGAGGTCTTATTGTTCTTAATATATGTAAGTCTACCTATGTGATGTATACCATAAGGACTTATCAACTCACAGGTTACTATTCACTTTGGGTATCCCTATATGCTTAAGAAAGTCCATCCTGACTTTCTTGTCAAGCACTGGTGGCGACTTCACCAAGTGGATGAAGAGAATGCCTTCGGGTCGGCCACGTCTCACTGTACAACTATCATCATCATAGTAGTAGGTACTCCTACCAGCGCTACGGTATATTCTCACTCACTCGTAATATTTGTAACTATCATGGTGATGTCGACAGCGAGGGTCGGCCCCACGGCTTCGGCGTGTGGACGGATGATTCTCGCCATGGTGAGATCCTGAGGGGAGTCTGGATGCGAGGTAGAGTGCATACTATATGACTCTTCTAGCAGCTGTCCCTTGTCAGGACTCCCTATGGGTCCGTTCGTATCTCGAGAGTTCAGCAGCGGCTCAGTGAGTGTCTGTCGTCGTATACTATGGGCATCGACTCGGGCCGAGCCGGGTAGCCCTACCTCTCCCCCAATACTTGTAAATGTCTTTTCTTAGGAATCACCTGGAAATATATATTCCCGCATCGCAAAGATGAATGTTCATATGGAGTAGCATCAGTCGAATGCTCTGTATCTGGGTATTTCTTCAACCACCTCCCCAAGGTTAAGGAGCTTCTCACTTCTACTGACGATTTCATCTTCGTCCTGGATCACTTCAAACGAGAGTAGTCCCATACGGTGTAATGCCGCCCTCAGCTATGCATGCAGGTTCGAAAGTTCTACCGAGGAGCTCGCAAAAGGGGAGGGCTTCATCGGATCGGAAAGGGATGCCTGCCGGAAGGATGTAGGACCATGCTTCCCTTCCTCTGTTGAGGGTGACGTCCCCATGCCAGTGTCCAGCGGCCCCTCCGGCCCTTCGGCTACGTCTGCTCACAAGCTTCGGAGCTCTGGAGAGAGGGAGCTCACAGTTGATCGCTCTAAAGGAGGATGAGACTGGTAATAGGGCGATGAAGTGGACGCCTATCTTCCATCTTTGAAGTGCCTTTGCCGCAGGTATCACGGGTACGGGTTTTATGGAGCTCCTACCGCCAGAGACGTGTGGCCAGGACTCAGATAATAAAGAGCAGTATTACTATAGTGGTCGAACTAGAACGTTTAGTTGCGGTAAGTCCTTGCGGTCCTCGCCTGTTGAAGGTCCGTCCCTCCCAGGTCATCCTTCCAGCCTATCACTTCAAACATCCTACCTCCAACCAGTGCGGCATGCAGAGGCATTGGTGTATCTACATGGCTATAACTGTCCTATCTCTAGTGCTATTGAACGGTTAGGACAGATGTTGGCTCTAGGACAGTTCCCATTGTGGATCAGACCCTTTGTTTTCTCCCAGGGTGAGGATGATACTGAGTATTGGTATGGTCACTACTACTCTTATTATTCGTAGGTTCGGGGTCCGCTCTTACCTATCATGCCGCTAGAGACTGTTTGCCGGAGTATGCACCGGATCTAGCTGACTTTGTGGCTAAACTCAGGACATCAGGCTTCCGTCGGATACACTTCTTAGTCCACTCTATGGGGGCGAGGTATTATACTATGTTATGATAGAATGGGAATAGTCTACCGCTCCTTCAGGCTCTTCTGTGAGGCCTTACCGTTTATGGTCCAGGACTCGCTTCTGCAGATAAGAGCGTGTTCATACGGCACCTCCAACTCAGCCAAGTCAACTCGTGCTGGTAGTCTAGAGGGAACCAGAGCGTTATCCTGCCGTACGGGCCGCCGTAAGGATCATTTTTCCACAGATTCAATCTCGTCAGCACCGGGCCCTGCCGTGGTGGATCTAGAGGCAGCAGCAGCTTCTACTGCTCCTCACAGCGATGTGGATAGGATGACTCTTCTTAACGTTGTTCTCGTCAATGCAGACTATCCTTTGGATAAGTTCCGTCATACTGTCCTACCCTCTTTACTGGAGTACTGTGAACGGGTAACGGTATATGCTGACAGTCGAGATGGTGCATTGATGTGGTCTGAACTATTCAATAGAGAGAAAGCCCTTGGTAAATTCGTTGGTACTCTAGCCTGTGTCGAGCGAGATAATGGTCAAAGCTACGGTGAAGCATATGTTGACGTTATGGACACGACACATATGGACCAGAATGTTCACCAACTTAGACATAATTTCTTCAATCTCAATGTACAAGTTGTGTCTGATATAGCAGAGATCGTCGAGTCTTGTACGCCAGCGGCCAAACGTAGCACTAGACTCACTAAGACGGGTAGGTCATCCTGGGGCTCCCTATCAGCATCATCACTTTCATTCAGGTCGAGGGAATGTATACACCTTCCTAAGTCCGCCGAGTTTTGTAAAGAATCATTAACTCGAGGTTTCATCGTTACAATCTAATGGAGGGCGTTTTCCCGCCAAGTAGCATTATTTCAATGAATAACAGCGGAGGTTTATGCTGCCACTCCTGCTTTTGCCTCAACAATTGACACACTGATTATATTTGCTTCCGCTATTTTTGTTCTGTATACCACGCCTCGAGTTAGTATCAGAAAAAGTAGGGATGCCGCAGTGTAGTAGTTTCATGTTGTATGTTTGTGTCTACCAAGGATGGACTATCAGACAGTTAACCGGTCAAGGATGCCTCGAAAAACCTCTAGCGGATTATACAAACATTAATGGTTTACACTACGAGTACTACGACAAAGAGTGTTCGACACCATCGAGAATTGTTAGTGGCATAGTAAGCAACTATCCAGCATGTTCTTTCCGGGCTCGGAGTAGATGCTATGGTGATAGACAGAAAACGCAGTACGACTCGTCGAGTAGGAGGGTATTGGGGGCGTTATGAAGCATAAGAGCGGATATGAGGAACCATATGAGGATGCTCTCCCACTCATACTCTCTTAGGTCATCAAATTTCAGCTATGGACGCATGGGCACTTCCTTTGTTGGTGTCGTATATAGAGGAGTGGATTAGTAATTTTCTCGTACAGCTGTTCTAGTAGTAATAATATCACTCCTTGGTCCCTCGTCTCCTGCTCTCCCAACACGGCTAGAATAGGCAGCTGTTATGACTCGATCGAAGGGCGATTCGAGAGGATGTCGTGCTACGTCCAAGTCTCACCAAGCTGTCCAGTACCATTTCCTGCCAAGTCATTAGAGTTGTGTGTCTGGAGTCGGTACGGCGCTCTCGACTAAGGATATCCCCCCTTCTCGCATGCTTGCTGTGGCCAGCGCTGACTTCAAATCACAGTTACCTCGAACAGCCTACACGGTATACCTAGCCCTACTAAGTGGTCATTTGGGTGGTATTGCATCAACGATAGTGTGCCGGAGTCCCATCTGTAGACCCTCACAGGGGGACAAAGGGTAGTAATAGAAAAAGTGTATGATGAGGAGCCGATGGTGGTAGGTATCGATTAGGTGGAGGCCAGTCTCAAGGTAGGACGGCCATAACACTGATTCACCCAATCAGCGAACACCATGTTACACTACATGATGCAAGGTCACAGTCGTTGTATCTTACCATGGTCTCGCGGGAATACGATCTCAGATATCCAGTGACCTTCTGTGAGATGCGGCCCATAACGTCTATACCTGACCAATTGAAGTTACATTCAGTGGCTATCGGACATCCCATATTTGGTGACTACTACTACACTAATGATAGGTATTGGCATCACTACCAGCTACCCTGTGACAGAGTCTCTCGTAGGCTTCTCGATGCCCACTACAAGGCTGGTACGTTATTCACGATGCCACGTGGGATCGAACGGCCGAGTATTCAACCTTGGTTATCGGCACCAGGCATATGGCAGGAAGAGCACCTTCGGGCCCACTTCCCTAAGCCAGTCGCTGAAGCTGGAGACGCACCTCCATGGATTGTACGGTGGCCTTCTCGCTCTGCTCCTACCCTACCAGAGCATGCAACACCACCAGAGACCCTCGAGGAAGTAGTGATGCAGGACGAGGTAGGCTAGACGCATACTATCTGAACAGGGCTGAATTCTTGGAGTATAGATTGGAAGCATCGTCGGCATGTCCGCTTTGAAGCCCTTCGAGTCGTCGCTACGCCACTCGCGAGATATTGAGTCCCTCGTGCGGCAATGGGGGTTCAATGAAGAGGATGATGTCCAACTGGGCGAGATCCGAGATCCGAGGTTAGTTGATACCCCAGCCGTCTACTGAACTTATCGCAGGTATACTGATCGTGATGTGTTCTTCGATCAGCCTCGAAAGTGGATTCGAAAACTTTAACAGCATGTTTCGGTTCA